AGCGGTGGCAGGTGAGTGAGTGCAGGCTATCGCTACTTCCCCAAGGTTACGGCCGAGGACGGTTTTACTCGTTTTTATTTTTCTTAAATCATAATTTTTTTCTGTGGTGACGCTGTCCCGCCGAACGCGTCTGCCGAGCGGCTGGCCTACCCTGAGGTCGTCAGGCGCTCCCCGTACAAGGACGCGCGCGCGACCGAGCGCGAAAAACACAGCGCAGGACATGAAACGGACTCCGCGCCTCCCGGTAGTGTGTCGTTGTATTTATTTACACTGTTCGCGAAGCACTGCCGGAATCACTCATTCTCTCTGGTGCACGGCTGGCACCCCCGCCCCGCGGCAGTTTTGCGGCCCCGGCTGTAAACACCGCCATAACGCCACGCGCACGCTCGTCCCGCGCGCCGCAATTAATTTGGCCGCTGATCAGCCTTACCAACCCGTTACCAACCTTTTATAATTCGACGCATTTTACCGCGGTGCCCTTCACTAAAATTAGTGAAGCGTTACTGAGATTTTTCTGTATTTGCTTGATTTTTTTTCCATATTTTTTTCTGATATTTTTTCAGATTTTCCTTTGATTGTTTTCGTTCTTAAAAAGAGTGAAGTATCTTTTGCCTCTTGTGCTCTGATTGATAATGGCCACTACTGGGCAGTCTTGCGAGCAATAGTCCAGGGAACGAGTAGTCCTCTGGTGTTTTTTTCCCCAGGACCACGCAGTAAGCGCGCGGCGGGCGCGCACCGGTACCGGTCGAGGCGTAGGTACCCCGCGAGCTGCAGCCAAACGGCTCCGCGGCGCCTTCCCCATCGCTCAGTTTTATGTGCTGCCGCTTACTAAAAGCGGTCGAGCTGGCAGCCCAATGAGCAGCCCCCCGCATCTCCTCCGATTTCTCATCATACACCCGCATCTCGCGCGGGCTCTGCACGCGAGTCCGTACGACCGTTTGTAAAACCGTTTAAAACACTAACGCACCTGTGTAGTTGTGTGTTGGGCTCCTGCTGATGTGTCGGTTACACGTGTTGTAAGGAGTGCAACCGTGTTGCGTGATTGCAAAACGGGGTAGCGGACTGTGGCAGCAGTCACTTGTAAACCCTCTTCTTACTTCTTCGCTTCAAGGTATGGGCCGTTGATTTTCCAGGGAGAGGGCGGGTGTAGTGGCTCAGACTCAGGGGTGCCCACACGCGCTGAGGCGGTGGCCGGCGCTCGGACGCTGCTCCGGTACCTGTCAGCCCAAAGTGGAGCCGCCCCACCGGAGGTCCGCGAGTTCCTTCGCGAGTTCTCCAAGTAGCGGCAGCAAGACCACGCCACCTGCCACAGAAGCAGCATCCAAAGGGCCTTGAGCAGAGCGGCTCTTGCGCCCAGTAGTATTTTGCATGGGAACATGGGAATGGTGGCAGTAGGCCAGGGTACTTAGTGAAACTGATGTTCAGTAACCAACCCCCATTTGCATTTCGACTTTCTGATTTGCTGTTTCGTTTGTCTGTTTAGCCGTGCGGAATCGCGCATTGTTTAGTCAGGAGGCAGCCGCGTCCTTCGTGTTGTGTTCGGTTTACTCGGTTTCGTGCATGTCTGCAATCTGCATGCTCGGTGCGACGCAAAGGCACCCTGAGGTTTCTTGTGTCATGCATAGAAAAAGGCGCATGGAGGACACTTTTTGTTGAAAGTTATCAGAAACTGTTACCGTAAACACCCTTCTCCTACCCCAAACAAACAAAGTATAAGTAGGATAAAATTGCAATACTTGTCTTGCCTCTGAAGGAAGTGCCCTGTTTGTACCATCACATTTACCTTAGGCATTCTACGTTTTCTGGTAGTGTTTTATATTGTAAGAGAAAAAAATACTTTGTAATAACATCCCAACACGTTTAAGCAAGGCGGTTATGGAGGTAGAGTTGAGGTACACGACTTTAACGGCGATGGATCGTAAAGACCCAAGTCTGGCATGGACCCAAGCACGGCCCAAGTCAAATTACTCACCATTTGTTTCGTCTGTGAGCTTTTGAGAATTCGCTTTAGGGTTGTGTCGTGCCGCAAAGCGCAGGCTGCAAACAGGTGACTACACTGTCATTGGAGAATTCTGAACACCTGACAATACTGTGGACAGTGGAGTGAACTTCCGCACGCATGCTGCTGCCATAAAACCTTAGAAATATAAGACAATTTAAAATAAATACATAGGTTTTGAGAGAAAGAAACGTTTTGCATAGTTTTTGAAGTAACCAGACTGCACTATAATTGCCTCAGCCTACTCGTCCCCTACTCTTCTTTGATCGAAGAGCAAAACAGTCCAAGGAAAATCATGTGGTTTCTTTATCACTAAGCGATACCCATCCTAGAAGTTCCCGGCGTTGCATTCCTGTTGTTATTACCATAAACAGACTTACTAGAATAATTATGATTGTGCAATTATTTAGTTCTGTAGTATGTATTTAGTTTGGTAAGTTCCGTTGCTGCCGCCACAAGCTCACCTAGAAGTGTCCTGCATGGATAGAAGTGTAACTGAAAGTGTGACAGTGTCAATCTGACATACTTTCAGTGTAAAGTTTAGCAGCGATTATCACTGCAACTCTTTGTTTACTCTTTTTTGCCATAAAGGATGTTTATCTCTAAAGTTTGTTTGGCTAAACTCATCTGCCTACTACCCCCCCC